CTGAAATTCCATTTTTCTGAATGGCCTCTGGAGCCCTCAGCTGCCTCCCTCTCTCTGGCCTGGTTGTTTCCCAGGGGCCTTGGGACTTGCTGCCACCTTAGGATTTCCCTTGCTGCTTTTCTTACCTGGATCTCCTCTCTCATAGCTTTCATTTCTTTGTTTGCTAAACTACATCCTCCAGCTTCCTAGGAATGCATAGGAGGTTTAATGCTTGAGATTTTGTAAAACTGGCAATGCCTATTCTATATTATTTGATTTACTTAATGGTAAAGGATTTTAGGCTGAAAATAATTTTTCCTCTGGATTTTAAAAAACCACTTATCTGTTTTAATGCAGAGAGATCGATCTTCCATCGGTGGGTTTACTCCCAAAAGCTCCCAACAGTCAGGGTTGGGCCAGGCTGAAGCGAGGAGTCTGGAACTTAACTGAGGTCTCCCATGTGGGTGGCAGGGACGCACGCACTTGAGCAATCACTTGCGGCCTCTCGAGATGTGCGTTGGCAGGAAGCTGGATTTGGAAGCAGAGCTGAACGCAAAGCCAGGCACTCCGGTATGGGACGCGGGCGTTCCGAGCTGGGTCTCAGCACCCACCCCTTTCTGGGTTTTTAGTGTTATACCCCATTACATTCTATCATCAGGGGTGGCTAGCGACAACTCTGATGCTATTCAGACATCTGTTTTATTTCTTTATTCGTGATCAGCTTTTTCTGTTCAACTTTTTCCCATATCCAAGATGATCTGAAATCCAATGATAACATGTCTGAAAATGCTTGTGTTTGTTCGTTTTAAACATTTGTCTGGTAGGCCCTGTTATTACAGGGACTCTTGTCCTTTAGTTCTGGGAAACTTCTATTATTTTGATGGTTTGTTTCCCTTGATTTCTCTCATATCTCCTTCTGAAACACCTATCAACAAGTCACTAAATGGATTCTCTAATGTTCTCATCTTTCCTTTTGTACCTTCTTTCTCCAGATTTTTCTCCTAATCTTTTTACTATTTTATTTACATGATTAATAATTTGTAATTCCTTACACTAGTAACCAGAGGAAGCCCAAAGCTTCAGATTTTTCATCACCCAAGTCTTTTTTTAGAGATTTATTTATTTATTTGCAAGTCAGAGTTATGAAGTAGGGGGAGGTGGAGAGAGATTCTTCCCTCTGATGGTTCACTCCCCACATGGCCACAATGGCCGGAATGGACCAGGCTGAAGCCTGGAGCCAGGAGCTTCATCCAGGTTTCCCACATGGGTGCAGGGGCCCAGCACTGGGCCATCTGCTGCTGCTTTCCCAGGCACCAGCAGGGACCTGAATTGGAAGTGGAGCAGCCGGGACATGAACTGGAGCCCATATGGGATGCCTGCGGGGTCGCAAGCAGTGGCCTTTTTTGTGGTGCCACAATGCCAACCCCGGCCACTCAGAAATTTTAGCTAAGAAGGTGACATGAAACAGTAAAGCTTGTGTGTGTAAGTGATGTAGACTGAGATGGGGCAAGACAGGAACCAACTGCGGCTTTTGCAGAAGTCCAGGAGACCACAGTGGCTTGGACTAGCACAGGGACAGACGTGGATGTCAGAAAGACTTTGGATCTTCTCAGAACGATTCCTGGGTTTCTGCTTAAAACAAATGTGTAAGGGAGTGGGGTTCTAGCCGCCAAGTTAGGGAACATGTAAGAGAAGCAGAGCGAGAGTACAGCGTGGCTGCCTGTGAGTTATCCACAGAGATACGTGCAAGCGAGGTCAGGGTCTCAGTAACAGATGGGGCGTCAGCAGCAGCAGACGAGTCCCAGGAGTGGATGACTGTGTGTGGGGACCGTACAGGCGGGACGTGCAGAGGGCAGCGAAGAGACACCTGAAGGGATTTTGTCAAGGATGGCAAGAGAAGGAGGCTCCAGGGAGACTCAGGGAGTAGCCTACAAGGCTGGTTAGAACCGGAAGAGGCCTGCACTACCAAAGGATGAAGGTCTCTTTTCAGACTGGAGGAACTGGTTGCAGAGGCGACAGGAAAACTCGTGCGATGTCAGTGTGCTGGAGGTCGCTGAGTGCCACTGTGAGATTACCAGCTGGAGTGAGTGCTGTTGCGAACAACGTTAACAAGCCCACCACGGATTCTCCTTATACCACGGGCTTCCTTGGATCCAATCCCAGGTTCTGAGATGTTCTAAGAATGTTGACGATTTTTATTCTTTAACTCTCACATTTTCCAAAAAGTAAACAACTAATTTCTTTTGAAAACTATAATCAAACTCATTTTATCTTGCAAGGTCTACTGGAACCTTTCATAACTTATTGGATCTTAATGATCTTGACTTTCTCTAACTGCAAACATTTTGTTATATCACTATCCTAAATCCCAGGAATTATTTCAACACTTCTCAATAATCATTCTCAATTGCGCTAGAAAAGACAAAAACAATAAGATGAATAATTGTGAATTGCCTAGAAGTTTGACTCAAATAAATCACTCTTCTGTTATACTTTTGTTTGTTTTTAAAGATTTAATTTATTCATCTGAGAGGCAGAGTGACAGAGAGCGAGGAGGAGACAGATGTTCTGTCCTCGGACTATCTCTCAAACGGCCACAGCAGCCGGGCGCTAGGAACTCCACCATGTGCCCTACATGGAGGACGGGGCCCAAGTACTCGGCCATAGTGCACTGCCTTCCCAGGTGCGTCACCAGGGAGCCAAAGCAGGAGTAGAGCAGCAGGGACACAAACCTGTGCTCTGATACGGGATGCTGGTGCTGCAAGCAGTGGTTGACCCACTGCGCCACAATGCCAACCTCTCTCCTCCCCTTCCCGTTATCTTTCTAATGTCTGAAAAACTGCATCATCGTTTAAGGGGGTATTAAAAAAATCCAGAGATATTTTTGTGTTTTATTTAATTTTCCTTCTTTCATCACTTCTTTACTGTTTAGTAATCCTTTCACTCTTTTTTTTTTTTTTTAAGTTTTATTTGTTTTAAAGGCAGAGAGAGAGAGAGAGAGAGAGAGAATCTTCCAGCACCCAACAGCAAAGCCTGGGCCAGGGTGAAGCCAGGAGCCTGGAACTCAATCTGGGTCTCTCACATGGATGACAGGGGCCCAAATACTTGAGTCATCATCTGGTGCCTTCCAGGTGTGCATGAGCAGGAAGCTGGAACTGGAAGTGGAGCGGGACCCCAAGGCACTCAGACATGTAGGCAGGCATCTGAAGCTAACTGAAACACTGCATCAGTGCCTGCCCCCTCTTGTTGTAAAGCTTTTATTACTCACTAATGAGAGTTTTTTTTTTTTTTTTGACAGGCAGAGTGGACAGTGAGAAAGAGAGAGACAGAGAGAAAGGTCCTCCTTTGCCGTTGGTTCACCCTCCAATGGCCGCCGCGGCTGGCGCACTGCGGCTGGCGCACCGCGCTGATCCGATGGCAGGAGCCAGGTGCTTCTCCTGGTCTCCCATGGGTGCAGGGCCCAAGCACTTGGGCCATCCTCCACTGCCCTCCCTGGCCACAGCAGAGAGCTGGCCTGGAAGAGGGGCAACCTGGACAGAATCTGGCGCCCCGACTGGGACTAGAACCCGGTGTGCCAGCGCCGCAAGGCAGAGGATTAGCCTAGTGAGCCGCGGCGCCAGCATGAGAGTTTAAAATTTTTTATTTTCTTCTCAAGATGGCAAAGAGAAGAAAATTGATAAAACATCTCCAAATATTTGAAAGATCAGAAGAAGAATTCAGAAGGACAGAATTCTAAACTCTAATGATATTGGTGAGATTTATCGCATAAAGGAAATACCAGGTGATGTCTTCAGGTGATAACATCCCAGAGAAATTCTCTCAGCATGGATGACTTGGAGCCATGTTGTGGCGCAGCAGGCCCACATCCCATACTGAGTGCCGGCTTGAGTCCAGTCTCCTGCTGACATGCCTGGGAAGGCACGAGAAGAGGGGGTAAGTCACTGAGCCTTTGCCACAAACATGGAGACCTGGATGGAGTTCCGAGTCCTGGTTTAACCTGACCCAGTCCTGGCCGCTGTGGGCATCTGAGAAGAGAACCAATGTGAATGGGAGATCTCCCCCACCACACACACACTCTGCCTTTTAAATAACTCTGAAATAAAATTGATGATTCAACTATATTTAAAAATAAAATACGGCCGGCGCCACGGCTCACTAGGCTAATCCTCTGCCTAGCGGCGCTGGCACACCGGGTTCTAGTCCTGGTCGGGGCACCGCGTTCTGTCCCGGTTGCCCCTCTTCCAGGCCAGCTCTCTGCTGTTGCCCAGGAGTGCAGTGGAGGATGGCCCAGGTGCTTGGGCCCTGCACCCCATGGGAGACCAGGAAAAGCACCTGGCTCCTGGCTCCTGCCATCGGATCAGCGCGGTGCGCCGGCCGCAGCAGCCATTGGAGGGTGAACCAACGGCAAAGGAGGACCTTTCTCTCTGTCTCTCTCTCTCACTGTCCACTCTGCCTGTCCAAAAAAATAAATAAAAAATAAAATACGGTATTCTTACTCAATTAGTCCTTTCTTGTGAGTGACTTCCTTACCAGTGTTTTATGAGAACCTAAGCCTTTCTAGAAAAGTACGCAATGTATTTCAACCTCTTTCAGAATGTGGCACATCAAATATGTTCACAGAGTTTGGAAGTAACAAATGAGAAAGGCCAATGTACCTACAAGGGTGAATGAATGAGGTACAGGTGAAAAATAATGAATTGCTAATTCTAATTGGTGTTTATAAATCTAAAATGTGAATATTTGTTTTTAGCTAGGGAGCAAAGAACGTATCTATTTTCTCTTCAACAAAATGACAATTCAGCGAAGTTTTCAAAAGCACTGCTTTTTGTTTATTCAAGCGCAAGAACGAGCAGAAGTAACGCTCAGCTGGAACCATTAGAGATAAATTTGAAATCTTGAATGGATATTTACAAGATGATTGTGTTCCTGGCTCCTATATGCTGATAAGCTGTTGTCTTCAAAGGACGTTTCTCACTTACCATAAGTCTTCCTTCAAATGCAGGAAAACATACAACAAAACAGTGGGTTTGTTATGTTTAATTTAAAATTTATATTCAAAATTCCTTTTAAACAGTTATTTATTTGAAAGGCAGAGTTACAGAGAGAGAGGGAGAGGCGGAGTGAGGAAGCGCTCTTCCATCTGGTGGCTCACTCCCTAAATGGCTACAGCTGCCAAGGCCAGGTCAGGCCAAGCCAGGAAGCTACAAGTCCACCTGGGTCTCTTACATGGGTATCAGGGGCCAAAGCCCTCACATCGTCTTCTGCTGCTTTCCCAGGGGCACTAGCAGGGAGCTGGGATAGAAGTGGAGCAGCCAGGACTCAGACCAGAAGTCATATGAGATGCCAGTGTCACAGGTGGTAGCTTAACCTGCTGTGCCACAACGCCGCTCCCCCTCGAGTCATTCCTCATTCTTCTTTTATTTTTCTTCTGTAAAGGATTTGCAAAATGACTTAAAATATGAGAAAACGGAAGAGAAGCATTGGCAAAGACTGTTTTCTGTGGTATATACTGTGAGTTAAATACATAGCAGTTTATTTGCCTTATGTAATAAGAGAAAAGAACAGGACACATGAATCTCTTATAGACAGCTTTAGGCTTCAGATAACAGGGTTATTATCTTACCTATTGGGGAATGGCAGCTCTGGGTGGATGGACTAGGGGGGACCCAGCTTGCTTCCACCTCCCTGCTAGGCCATCTCCAGTCTTGGTTTCACTCTCAGCCTTGTACCAAGATAGTTGTAGCACTCTATCTAGACATACAACATGCCAAGGAAGGAAAAAAGAGACTCTATTAAGTGAGAAAACCTTTTCCAGAATTATTCCTTCTCCCACAACTCCCTTTCTTCCAGCCTGCTCTGTGAGGAAGAAGGGGGTAACTGGTATCGTAGACCACACGACACAATAGCCCAACTGTAGAGGCAAAAATTAAAACATTTTACAGAACACATTTTTTATTTTAATATTTATTTATTTGAAAGGCAGAGTTAGAGAGAGGGGAAGGGGGGAGAGAAAGAGAGAGGGAGAGAGAGAGGTATTCCATTCACTGGTTCACTCGGCAAAAGGCTGCAATGTCCGGAGCTGGGCCAGTCTGAAGTTAGGAGCCAGGAACTTCTTCTGGGTCTCCTACATGCATGCAGGGGCCCAAGCACGTGGGCCATCCTCCGCTGCTTTCCCAGGCACATTAGCAGGGAACTGGATTGAAGTAGAGCAGCAGGGACTCGAACTGGTGTCCATGTGGGATGATGGCTCTGCAGGCTGCAGCTTTACCCACTACACTACAGTGCCGGCCCAGAACAAATACTAATTAAGAGACAAGAACTGTCACCAGAAGTCAGAATGGACTGGCATAAATAAGTTAGCCCTCTTCTAACTCCTCTTTTCCCTCCTTAGGGAAACAACTCAGAATATTGTTTAATTCCTCTTCTCTGGGCAGCTGCACACAGGAGCAGCCGGCTGGTATATGTTCTAAGACGGAGTGATGAGGTGAACGAATTAAAGCAGTGCTGGAGACAGGGACCTTGACCAGTGGATGACAGGCAGAAGACTGGGCTCCTGTAGATGCCTGGAATAGCCAAGAAAAGAAACCGTAAGACTTGGGGGAAGTGTTCGGAGCAGCTTCCCAGAATTCTGTTGGCTAGGATTTCTGTGCACTTGAAAAATCCAAAGCAGGATGTATGGCCAAAACCAGGCTGAGGACGAAAACGATGCTGAGAGGGAGCACAGGAAGAAAGAGGAGAGAGGGGAACCACTGTGGTTCCTTGTTTCTCCCCCGGCTTATGCAGTAATCTAATAGTTTTAAAGGCACAGTCTCTCTTTAGAGTTGCTCAGTCTAGACCAACACTGAAGATGATGGCTGGGCTCTTTTGTACAAAATTATTTGAGAGGCAGAGAGAGATGGGGGGAGAAGGGAGTGAGAGAGAGAGTCCCCAAGTTCCTGCAATAGCCTGACTGGTCCAGGCCAAAGCTGGGTTCGGAACCCAACCCAGGCCTCTCCTGTGGGTCGCAGGGACCCAACTACTTCAGCTGTCACCTGCTGCCTTGCAGTCTGCATCAGTAGGAAGCTGGCATTGGCAGCCAGGCCTTGAACCTAGATCTTGTGATATGACGTTAGTCACGTGTCCAAACAGCCACACCGAACTAGAATTTTTCGAATTCCCTCTTTTGGGTGATCTCGAACACTTGAACTGGGCTCGGCATGAAAGTCTTTGTAGGTGAGGAAGAACAGACACCATGTTGATTCCTTTCAATAAGTAGTTAGAAAATCTGCTAGGCTCATAGACTGAATAAGGGACATTTTCTGACCAAGGATGGGGTAGGAAAGGTGATGTGTTGCCAGCCATCACAGACCTGGAGCCATGTCTTAATGAGCCACAACAGGTGAGGCCAATACCTAATATATAAGCTACTTAGGAATATTGGTAGCCCTATGCAATAAAGATTCTCAGGAATAGGCCGGCGCCGTGGCTCACTAGGCTAATCCTCCGCCTAGCAGTGCCGGCACACCGGGTTCTAGTCCCGGTCGGGGTGCCAGATTCTGTCCCGGTTGCCCCTCTTCCAGGCCAGCCCTCTGCTGTGGCCAGGGAGTGCAGTGGAGGATGGCCCAAGTGCTTGGGCCCTGCACCCCATGGGAGACCAGGAGAAGCACCTGGCTCCTGCCATCGGATCAGCGCGGTGCGCCGGCCGCAGCGCGCCGGCCGCGGCGGCCATTGGAGGGTGAACCAACGGCAAAGGAAGACCTTTCTCTCTGTCTCTCTCTCTGTCCACTCTGCCTGTCAAAAAAAAAAAAAAAATTCTCAGGAAACAGAGAAAGCAGAGTTGCAAACCAAGATCCGTGTCCTCTAAACTGTGCAAAGGGATAACTGCTCACCAGCATCAACACCTAATCCACCAATCTAACAGTAAAAAACTAGAAGAAAAAAATGCCTGCATTTCAGTTTCTGCTGTCTTTCCCCAACCTTTGTGAAGTTTCATTGCTTACAGCTTGATCTCCAACCAAGACCTGAAAACCACACAATAACAAATGACAGGGGCAGGTGTGCGGTGAGGACCCCCGCACCCCTCATCAGAGTGCCCGGCTCTGAGTCCTGGCTCTGCTCCGCGCTGCAGCTTCATGCTAACCAAACCCCGAGAGGCACCAAGTCCCTGCCCCTGTGGGCCAGATCCCCATCGAGCTCCAGCTCCTGCCTTCCGCCTGGCCCAGCCCCTGCAGGTATTTGGGGCAGTGAACGGTGGATGGGAGACCTTTGTCCGTCCCTCCACTTCTCAAATAAAATACATAAATCACTTAGACAACTTAAAAAATGATAAGGGAAATTAAGTCCAAAGTAGGTATTCCTGAGAACTTTGTGGAGACACACTGGCCTTCCGGAGTGCCGGAGAGTTATTTCGAAGAAACCTAGGCGCACAGGTGAGTCACCCTTCACCGCCCAGAGAGGAGCGGCCGGCTGACGTCTTACCAGCACAGCTGTTACCCACTAAGCCCAGCGCCATAAAACACAGATTAAGACTTCAGTCCTACAGCGCATTTTAGAGTCTCCTCACACGAAGGCTTAACCCACGTACAAAAACTCCACCTTCCCCAAGCCAAGTAATACCTGCTGTGGATAAAGGTAAAACATCCGTGTGCGTGGTCACGGAATAGGGTTAGGAAAGCGCCCTCTGGTCACAGGCCGGTTGTAAGTTTCTAAGTGTGTATGTAGTGAGTGCTAGCTTTTATTTTTTTTTTTAAGGGCTCAACCTTTCACACGCAACTTTTTCTGTAAACGTGGTTATACAAGAATATGGTGGCCCAAGATGCCAAACAGAACTAAGAATTTAAACAAAACAAAACAAACCAAACCAACAGTTTAAAAAAAAAAAAAAAAAAAGCCTGAAGAAACCCAACCTGGCTATGCAAGAAACGTGCCAACGACTCGGGCGCTGCGCGCTTCCCCTCACAGCCCTGGGAAAACGCACCCCCGCGCGAGACGCCCTCCCCGCCTGCCCACGCCTGCCCACGCCTGGCACTAACGAGCTTCTGCGCCCGCACAAAGCCAGGATCAAGTTCGGGGGCTTGCTTGTCTCGCACGAACAAAGATCGGCCGGCGGCTTTCTCGCAGGAGCCGGGGCCGAGGCGCGCCCCGCGCCCCGCGCCCCGCGCCCCGCGCCCCGCGCCCCGCGCCCCGCGCCCCGCGCCCCGCGCCCCGCGCCCCGCGCCCCGCGCCCGCGCCCCGCGCCCCGCGCCCACCGGGCCCTTTAAGCGCCGCGCCCGCGCCCGCCCCGCCGCCCGCGCGCCCCAGCCGGCTGCGCCTCCCGCCGGGTTACGTGCGCCCGGGGGCGGGCGCGGGCGCGGGCCAATGGCCGCCGCCGGGGCAGCGCGCTCCTCCCGCGCCGCCGTGTGGCTGCGGGCTCCTCCCGCAGGAGATAACTGTCAGCGCGCGAGGCGGCGGCGGCGGCGGCGGCGGCGGGGGCCGGCTCCGTCACAGGACCGGCGCGCAGCAGAGTTCCTCAGCCCGGCGCCCCGCGCTCCCGCCAGGCTCGCCGCCCCCGCGATGACCCCGCCGCCGCCGCCGCCGCCGCCCCGGGCTGCGCGCTGAGCCGCCGCCGCCGCCGAGCGCGGGGCCGGAGCCGCCGCCGCATCATGGCCCCGACCCTGCTCCAGAAGCTCTTCAACAAAAGGGGCAGCGGCGGCAGCGGCTCCGCGGCGGCGTGCGCCCAGGGCCGGGCGCCCAAGGAAGGACCCGCCTTCAGGTGAGGGGCGCGGGCCCGGCGCGGGCTTCGGGGCTGGCGGGGGGCCGCCGTGGACGCGCGTGGCCCCGGGGCGGCCCCCTCCGCCTCTGCACAACTCCGGGTGCCCCGGGTTTCGGGGAGTTCCCGTGGGCTCCTTGCGTGCCGGGGCGTGCGCTGCGCTTGGCCGCGCGTGGGCCGAGGCGCCCGGGCCCTGCGGCGCGGCGAGCTGTCATCGCCGAGGGCGGCCGCGGCCCATTGTGTGCGTGTTGGGAAGTTGTGCCGGAGCAGCCGCGGCGAAGGGAGGCCCCCGGCCCCCTCCGGTCCCTGCTGGCGCTGCCTGACGGATGAATGGAAGTGTGCGGTTTCCGCGTCGTTCCGAGGGCGCGCGCCGCGCCATGTGTGCGAGGGGCCGTCTGGGGTCTCGGGAGAGCGGAGTCGATCCGGCGTTCCCGGCGCGCACCTGTGGCTAAGAACAGCCGGCACGCGTGCAGCCTGGGCGGCTGGGAGTGCGTGGCGTCGGGGTCCCTCCCTGGAGTTCCCATTTCGCAGGTGAGAAAGCGGAGGCGCCGAGAACCGCAGCTGTCCGCGGACCAGGACCCGGTCTGCTCCTAGGACCCGGTCTGCCCCCCAGGACCCGGTCTGCCCCCCAGGACGCGGTGTGCCCCCCAGGACGCGGTGTGCCCCCCAGGACCCGGTCTGTCCCCGGGACCCGGTCTGCCCCCCGGGACCCAGTCTGCCCCCAGGACCCGGTCTGCCCCCAGGACCCGGCCTGCCCCCCAGGACCCGGTCTGCCCCCCAGGACCCGGTCTGCCCCCCAGGACCCAGTCTTGAGTATCCCCGGTCTGCCCCCAGGACCCAGTCTGCCCCCCAGGACCCAGTCTGCCCCCAGGACCCGGTCTGCCCCCCAGGACCCGGTCTGCCCCCCAGGACCCGGTCTGCCCCCAGGACCCAGTCTGCCCCCCAGGACCCAGTCTGCCCCCCAGGACCCAGTCTGCCCCCAGGACCCGGCCTGCCCCCCGGGACCCGGTCTGCCCCCAGGACCCGGTCTGCCCCCCAGGACCCGGTCTGCCCCCAGGACCCGGCCTGCCCCCCGGGACCCGGTCTGCCCCCCAGGACCCGGTCTGCCCCCCAGGACCCGGTCTGCCCCCAGGACCCGGTCCTGCCCCCAGTACCCGGCCTGCCCCCAGGACCCGGCCTGCCCCCCAGGACCCGGTCTGCCCCCAGGACCCGGTCTGCCCCCCAGGACCCGGTCTGCCCCCAGGACCCGGTCTGCCCCCAGGACCCGTCTGCCCCCAGGACCCGGTCTGCCCCCCAGGACCCGGTCTGCCCCCCGGGACCCAGTCTGCCCCCCAGGACCCGGTCTGCCCCCAGGACCCGGTCTGCCCCCAGGACCCGGTCTGCCCCCAGGACCCGGCCTGCCCCCCAGGACCCGGTCTGTCCCCCGGGCCCCGGCCTGCCCCCCAGGACCCAGTCTGCCCCCCAGGACCCGGTCTGCCCCCCGGGACCCAGTCTGCCCCCAGGACCCAGTCTTGAGTATCCCCGGTCTGCCCCCCGGGACCCAGTCTGCCCCCAGGACCCGGTCTGCCCCCCGGGACCCAGTCTGCCCCCCGGGACCCAGTCTGCCCCCAGGACCCAGTCTGCCCCCCGGGACCCAGTCTGCCCCCAGGACCCGGTCTGCCCCCCGGGACCCAGTCTGCCCCCCGGGACCCAGTCTGCCCCCGGGACCCAGTCTGCCCCCCGGGACCCAGTCTGCCCCCAGGACCCAGTCTTGAGTATCCCGGGGCTGCCCTGCTTTGAAGGGCCAAGTTCTGGAAGGCGCCTTGCAAGGTGCAGTTCTTCAGCACTCTCACACCCTTTTTGGCCAAAACGCCCTGCAGACGCGGGTTATTGTTACTCCCGTGTAATACACCTCTAAAAAGTTTCAAGCGCAACTCGGAAACACATTTTGCAGCAAGTTCTGTGTTGTCTGTTCTGCTTGTTCTCGAATTCCACTGGTGGAAAACAGCCCCCTCTCTCATTCTGTAAGAAAGGACGGGCGTGGGTGTGTGTCTGGGGTGTGGGGTTTGAAAAGTAGGCCGTGAGGACTTCCACCTACCACGGCTGAATTCTCACGTTTCCTCTGGGCTAACCCAGTGCTTCCCGTGTGAGGGGAACTCTACGCCTCTGCTGGCTGAGCCTTCTCAGTGGTAGAATTACTTGAGACCCAGGGCGGGTCATGTCTTCCCTGCCTTGACGCAGCCCTGAGAGCCGGGGTGCAGCACCTGGAGGAAGCGGCATGGGTGTCACGGTGTCCTCACTCCGCAGCCCTTGCTGGGAGAGACGCTGGAGTTGTACTGTCACTGTTTCCTGTGTCCCCTGCCTGGCTGCCCACCACCATTTCCTCATCCGCAAGCTTAATTGGGTGTATTTGGATGAAAAAAAAAAAATAAATAAAAAAGGAGGGGGGGGCTATATTTAGGGCCTGGCCATATTTGGGAACTTGATTCCCACTTTGTGGGAACATGTTCTGTGTAGTGTTCTGACCTCTCATTGGTGTAGAATGGAGAACAGAAAATTGTGCCAAGTGCTGTTTTTGTTTTTTTTTCTTTCTTGACCTCATTAGGATTTTCGGCAAGTTTTTGAATAGGTTTTTTTTCTTTTCTTCTTTTTTTTTTTTTTTTTAAAGATAATCTGGGAGTCTTAGCGGGGTGTCCCATTTGGGGAGAACCCCCTTCCGTAGTGTCCCAAAGGCATCACCATGGAAACAGGGGTGAAGTGGGAGATGTTAGCAAAGATGCAGGAGGCTGGGGACAAGTCAACCAGTGCTTACCAGGCCAACACAGAGCACCAAACTAGTGTTTCCTCTGCCTTTCTTTCACCTGGCCTCGCTCTTGCATACTCTGCAGCCCTCCTGGGAAAAGTCCTGGAAACTTGATCATGCTTCACCTAAAAATATCACAACCTGGTATTTCATTTTATCCAGGTTTCGCCAAATTAGAGCTGTTACGTGCCTTTTGGGGGGAAGGGGTGTCTCATACAGGAAGCTTGCTTTGCAGGGAAGTCGATTTCTAGAAGTTTTAAGGTAAAACCCAGATAGCCCCAATGTGAATTTATATTCGTTAGTATATTTAAATACAGGATGTGACTTGTAGATTTGGAAAACGAAGGATCCCGTGAGCATTCAGGTAGATGTTTTTGGCAGTTATTTAGCATATACCAGGAAAAACCTCAAAAAGTAAGATTAACTTTTAAGAAAAATTTCAGTATTTGAAAGGCAGAATGACAGGAAGAGAGAATATATCTTCCGTCTGCTGGTTTACTCTCCAGATGCCCTCATCATCGAGAACTCCATCTGGGACTTCCACATGGGTGGTAGGAACCCCAGCCCCTGGCCAGCACCTGCTGCCTGCCAGGGGCATTAGCAGAAAGCTGGATGAGAAGAGAAGTAGCCAGGACCAACAAGGGTCCTCTGACGTGGCGTTCAGCTGTCTCAAGTGCTGGGTTGACCCCTGTGCCACAACAGCTGGCCCAAGATCTGACTTGTTAGATTTTAGGGATTGCCGAATCCTTTGATATTTGTGTTTCCATGATGGGCTTTCATTTGTTGTTTTAAACTTTTCTCTTCTCAGAATTGTCTTGCCCTTGACATTATTCGTGTATACTTCCTAGTCTCTTCTCCAGGTTCTCGCTGTTCCCACACCCCCCTAGTCTTCCCCACTGAATTAGAGAGGAAATACATCGTCCAGTGTAAGTAGCTCCTGTCTTCATGCTGCACATCTTTCTATCGAGAAAGAGGCTCATCACAGTTAGATTCCTTCTTCGGTGTTTCACTAGGTTCTCCCTTTTCATACCTGTGAGGGAAGAGGTGGCTAGGAAGACGGAGAAGGAATCAAGAGAGATGAAATTTGCATATTAAGATAATCGAAAATGAATCTTGATGTGAATGGAAGGGGAGAGGGAGTGGGAAAGGGGAGGGTTGTGGGTGGGAGGGACGGTATGGGGGGGAAGCCATTGTAATCCATAAGTCGTACTTTGGAAAATTATATTCATTAAATAAAAGTTTAAAAAAAAAAAAAGATGAAATTTGCATGCTGGAGAGAAGTGGTCAGGAACACTCTGATTATAGTATTTGTGAGGTTTAAACCCTACTTAAAATCATAAGATTGCATTGTGGGCGTTGAAATTTGAGTGCGGTCCCTGTTTGCTGATCTTCAGAATGCTTTTCACTTTTAATTAATTGATGCATAAGTTTATATTGGAATAACCTTTTGTTCCAGAAGGATGAATTAAGGCAAAAGAATGATTTGTTCAGTGACTCAAGTCGGAAGTGGAATTGGGGTGTTGGTTACCTTGGATTTAAGGCTAGCGCATTTCCATAGGACTTTTTAAAAGAAGGGTATGCCCATGGACTTAGA